TGGACGACCCGTCGTTGAAAAAGGGCAAGGGGAAACCAAAGAAAGGCGCGGAGGAGAAAACTTACTACGTCCAAGTTCCTGAGTCGGATGTCCACTGCTGGAAGGAATTGGTGGACTTGATGGACCGCGAGAAGAAAAGGCTGCTGAATGGCGTCTTGAACCTTAACGTCGTGTAGGTTCAAACGAGTAGCAAGAAGTTGGCCGATCAKGGGAAGTTCAGTGTGAAGGAGATGGTCGACATAATAAAAATGGACCGGATTATGCTGAGGCTGTGGCACTACGTGGAGTTCGAGTACGAGGAAATGGATAAGCGGGAGTGGAATGCCAACTCCACGTTCTTCAGGTCCAAGCGCCAACTGTTSGAAGAGTTCAAGGACAAAGTTCTCGACGACAAACTTTGGAACGAGAGCAGGAAAATTTTCACGGATACCGCGTACGTCAACAAGTGCCCTCAGTTTCTCGGGTGTCAACACGACAACAACATCAAGAGAACGGCGGCCCTCGTTAACGACCAGCATTTCCCGGYGGAGTAGAAGCGTGTCGTCCTTTCGTTGATCACTGGAGATCGCGCCAAAGGCAAAAAAGCCCCTCGAGGCGTTGATGAATGCATCAACATTTTGTCGACAAGGACAAGCGCCTTGACGACACTGGCCCAGTTTAACWTCGACCCATTGAGTGCCATAGATCATAAGGAGGCGCTGGGAAAACTGGGCATCAGCTACGCTCCCACACTTGCGTGCTCTACTTGTGTGGAACTGTGGACCGTGCGCAATGGGACTCTGGGCATTCACGTCTCTGAGTGAGTTGCTGGGATTCGTTTGTCAGGACTACTGGACATTGGTCGTATTCGTTCCCTGCCTGTGGAACCTCTCCTTCATGACAGCTTTGTCTGCGCTTGGGGCTACCCGATGCTACACTGGGAAGTGGGTTCGGAAGACGACATCGAAGAAGATGCATCAATTCAGAAACAGCRTCTCGGAGGAGCCGGATGTGATGCACATCCTTTTCAAAGGCGAGGATCCGCGGCTACTGACTCACCCGGTGTACGAGGGAGCTGTTGCCGAAGATGATGCTGCCGCTCTTCGGAGGAGACAGAAAGTGACACCCACGGATGTGGAGGAGAAGTCTTTCAAGTCCT